TAATTACATTTTATTATTTAAATTTTATAATAGGTACATACTGTTGGAATACGGCAATTTAATAGAAATAACATTATTCCGTTTACGTATCTTTTCACATTTTCTGATATTATTTATGTTCCGCGGGTTACCGACGTATTCCACGCCCTCTAAAGCCAATCGCGTCACGGCGCTCTAAAGGTGGCGCTCGCAATACTTCCGCCGGCGGAGGAAGACTTCCGTCTTCTTCCCAGTCGTGGTCGCTCTGTGTGTATGTCTACCACCGTATGACTCGCTCTCACGTATCAAGACTAGTTTTGTTTTGTACCACGTTTTACAAGCCATTATAATAAATTGTGCTTGCTCACGTCGGACTTCGTTCCACGAAAACCTCAATAGGTTATGGGCCCAGGAGACGCGGCCGAACGAAATTGACGTGCACAGAAAGAAGTGTTTCTTTCTCGAGAGCTGAGGCGATATCTCGCCATCTTGGAACGAGACAGACAATACTCTCGTTGCTCCCTAATCCGGTGTTCCTGTAGCGAAGCAAGAAATCGGCAAAGATGTCCGAGATCATCGATCTGAAAAGCATCACCAAGTTCGATGGCTCAAATTTCCAATTATGGAAATTCCAGCTTCGAAGTATCCTCGTAGCAACTGGTCTCCTCGGGATCACGGAAGGAACTGTTACGACACGAAACCGGAACCGACAGAAGACACACACGCGGCATGGTGCACGAAGAATGCAAAGGCAATGTGCATAATTTCATCCACAATGGAATACTCACAACTCGAGTATCTAATAACCTGCGAAACCGCTGCAGAAATGTGGTCGAAGCTGAGCACCATTCACGAGCAGAAAAGTGCGTCGAACAAGCTCACACTCATGACCAAATTCCATGAGTACAAAATGTCGTCTTCCGACACCGCTGCGCAGCACGTCGCCAAGATAGAAAATATGGCACGTCAACTGAAGGACGTCGGAGAGGAGCTATCGGAGGTAATGATCGTCGCCAAAATCCTAGGGACCCTCCCATCCAAGTTCAACGCCTTGATAACAGCCTGGGACAGCGTCAGCGAGCGGGACCAAAAGAAGGACGTCCTCGTCGAACGACTGATAAAGGAGGAAAGTCGTCTTACAGCCATGGACGAAACTTCAAACGCACTGGCAGCAATCAAGGTACATGACGGAAGCACGCATTCCAAGGACGACGCCTCGCGTAAGAATCGTAACAGCGATAACATGTCAAATAAAAATAAGCGAAAAGAGCTCTCTTGTCATAATTGCGGTAAAAAAGGTCATTATGCTCGAAATTGTTATAAAAAACGCGACAGACCGGATAACGATAAAAGTAACGCGAAGTCGAAGCGTAAAACTAACAGCGATGATTCTAAAGATTTGGAAGCGTTTCTAGTTTCGGAACCTAATACCCAAGTAGAACAAGTTAATCACAAAAACGTCAATGTGACATTAAAATGACGAAGTTTACGTCATAAAATGATCGACATCAAGATTTATTTCGCAATGACTGACTAATGACCATGATATTCGTGACGTGTATAATAATATATTATTACAGATTACATGATCAGTCATATATTATGTTTGTCTTATATTACTTCGATTTATTTTTGATGTATAATACTTAATTAACTTTGCTTGGTAAAACGAGATTAACTTTACAACATTTCGATGTCTTAATGATGTCACAAATAGGTGCTCTCGGTGGGCTATTTTGACGTCACCATGATGCATAAAAAATGATCGAAAAATGATGTCATCTTGATGTTTTCATGACCAATATGTTCTACTTGGGTAGTTGTACTCAAATTTTGAATTCCGATGTAAAAGATGTATGGATTCTAGACAGCGGCGCGTCGCAGCATATGAGTTTCCGTCAGGAATGGTTCATCGACTTAGACGAATCTTACCACAAAGAATCCGTTAGTTTAGGTGACGAGTCAATTTGTAAAGTGATGGGACGGGGAACAATCCTAATCAAAAGGTTAGTTAATAATAAATGGCTCGATGGTAAATTAGAAAACGTTCTTTACATCCCATCACTGCGAAGAAACCTTTTCTCATCTGGAGTATGCACAGAAAAAGCATGCAGTTTAGAGATAGAGGCAAACGACGTAAGAGTGTATCGAAACGAAAAATTATTAGCGCACGGTGTTAAGCAAAGTAACAATCTGTTCAGAATGATGTTTAAGGTAGTTCCAGAAGGAGAGGCAAATTCGGCTTCACTAAGGGATGTTGAGACATGGCATAAACGCTTGAGCCATATCAATCGGCGCTCATTGATCAAAATGGTGGATCTACAACTTGTCAAAGGAATTACACTATCACACGTCGACGAGTTCTTTTGCGAGAGTTGTCAGCTCGGGAAACAGCATCGTCTACCCTGTAAATCAAAGGAGCAAAAGAGGAAAACTGAAGCAGGCGAATTCATTCATACTGACTTATGCGGTCCCATGTCGGAAGATTCCATAGGCGGATCAAAATATTTTCTTCTTTTTAAGGACGACCATTCAAGTTTCCGTCATGTTTATTTTATACGCCATAAAGACGATACATTTGAAAAGTTTAAGGAATACGAACAACTAATCTTCAACAGGTTCGGACGAAGGATAAAAACTGTGAGATCCGATAACGGAACCGAATTCAGAAACGACAGGATGTCTAGGTACATGGCGTCACGAGGCATCACGTTGGAAACATCAGCACCATACGTACACGAGCAAAACGGACGCGCAGAGAGAGAAATGCGCACGATCGTCGAAAGCGCCCGCACTATGTTGACCGCAAAGAAACTGCCAACAAAACTTTGGGCCGAAGCAGTAAGTACCGCAGTTTACACGTTGAATCGTTGTCTCTCGTCTCAGACAGAAAACACCACACCTTTCGAAAAATGGTACAAGAAGAAGCCCGATATATCCCATATAAGAATTTTCGGCAGCGACGCCTATGTTCACGTCCCAAAGGAACAGCGCAAGAAATGGGATCCAAAATCAAGGAAACTCACGTTGATTGGATATCATCACGAGTCTGCCAATTATCGGCTTTATAATCCGGCGACCAATAAGATCATCACAGCCAAAGATGTGATTGTGAACGAGAATTCAGTTCAGGATACTGAAAACGAGAAAAGCCGAATCATCGTGTCAACGAATGAGAATGAAGACATCGCATCCGCAGACGATCTTCTCAAGAAAAACACGCCCTGTAGAGCCGAAGAAGCGCATTCTGATGAAGAGCGCGAGAACGAACCTGAGGAAGGGACCGACGATACCGGCAGTAACGGGAACTCAAACAGAAAGGACAGATACAATCTACGAAAAAGAGATTCGATAAAAACACCGTTCAGATACGAAGCATGTTTCTCTCTGTTCAACGAGCCGATGTCATATCAAGAAGCAGTCTCGGGAGAACAATCCATGAACTGGAAGTTAGCCATTCAAGAGGAGTTTCTCGCACACGAGAAAAACAATACATGGACAATAGTACCGAAGCCATCGGATTGTAATCCAATAGGATGTAAATGTATTCAAGGTGAAAGAGAACCCATCAGTAGGCAAGGTTCGATTCAAGGCCAGACTGTGCGCGAAAGGCTTTTCACAAAAGGCCGGAACCGATTTCGAAGAAATATTTTCACCAGTCGTCAGATATGACTCGGTGAGAATGCTAATGGCAATTGCTGCAACTGAAGATTTAGAAATCGGACAATTCGATGTAAAAACCGCCTTTCTACACGGAAAACTGGAAGAAGATATATACATGCAAACACCCGAAGGAATCATACTTGATGAAAACAAGGTCTGCAAATTGAACCGACCTCTATACGGTCTGAAGCAAGCAGCCAGATGCTGGAATCAAAGATTCAAGGATGTCTTAGAAGAGATTAACTTCAAAGCCAGCGAGGGAGATCAATGCGTATTCTACGGCGTTTTTAATAAAGAAAAGGTTTACATCGCACTGTACGTAGACGATGGACTTATATTTGCATCCTCAAAGGAAACATTGGCTTATATATTCAGCGCTCTTCGCGAGAAATTCGAAATAACCGAAGGAAAGGCCGAAATCTTCGTTGGAATGGAGATCAAGCGCAACCGTGAAAAAAGGACCATTTTTATCCATCAGAAATCTTACATTGACCGCATAATAGCGTACTTTGGCATGGACCAAGCTAAGCCTGTCTCAATCCCAGCCGATCCTCATGCAACGATATATACAAGAAACAACGACAATACACCATGGAATCAAATCCCGTATCGAGAAGCGATAGGATCATTATTATTTATAGCGACAGTCTCAAGGCCCGATATCTCTTACGCCGTCGGTCTCATGAGTCGATTTCTTAACAATTATAACCTATCCCATTGGCACGCTGTACAAAGAATTTTCAAATATTTGATAAGTACTAGAGACTACGGGATCTTGTATCAAGGAAACAACGCGAAGCATAGCAACCTGGTCGGATATTCAGATTCCGACTTCGCCTCTGACTTAGATAGTAGACGGTCCACTAGCGGTTACATGTTCATGCTAGCGAATGGACCTGTAACCTGGAAATCAAAGCGTCAAGACACCGTGAGTCTCAGTACTACCGAAGCGGAATATATCGCAGCCAGTCTAGCATGTAAGGAAATATTATAGTTAAGAAAATTAATGGTGGACATTGGACATCGATGGTCTTATCCAACAAATTTAAGTTATACGTCGACAACCAAAGCGCGATAAAATTGGTTAAAAACCAAGAGTTCCACAGTAGGACTAAGCACATCGATGTTCAATATCATTTTATCCGCGAGAAATATGAAAATAAAATAGTAAGTGTTCTATATATTCCCAGTGAAGATCAGTTGGCCGATGCGTTTACAAAACCTCTGCCACGCGTTCAGTTTGAAAAACTAAGGTCCAAGATGGGCATCACCAGTTCTGAGAATGCATAGACACTTTCAAGAGCATAAGTTTCTCGTTATATGTTCACGAACAGAAATCACCGAAAACGTTCAAAGGGTGAGAATGTTGGAATACGGCAATTTAATAGAAATAACATTATTCCGTTTACGTTTCTTTTCACATGTTCTGATATTATTTATGTTCCGCGGGTTACCGACGTATTCCACGCCCTCTAAAGCCAATCGCGTCACGGCGCTCTAAAGGTGGCGCTCGCAATACTTCCGCCGGCGGAGGAAGACTTCCGTCTTCTTCCCAGTCGTGGTCGCTCTGTGTGTATGTCTACCACCGTATGACTCGCTCTCACGTATCAAGACTAGTTTTGTTTTGTACCACGTTTTACAAGCCATTATAATAAATTGTGCTTGCTCACGTCGGACTTCGTTCGCTATCCACGAAAACCTCAATACATACATATATATTTATATGATATATGAAATAAAATATCAATATCAAATAATATATCAATAATTAGTATTATTTGTTCAGGTAATACAAAATTATTTCTCAATGTTAATTACTCTTCTGTTTTGCTGTATAAGATTTCTTATAAAAATCATAAAATAAATAAAGAAATATAAATATATTTACAGTAAAGAGTGACACTACTCCTCTTGGCACTTCGCAAGTGAGAAACTGCAGTAGAAAATACAAGAAGCACAAAAATTGTACCTAAAATTTCACAAATGAGTAAAGATATTAGAAACAAAATATTACAAACTTGTAATGGGCTATGTAGATGCATATTGAAGAAAAATACGTTTTAGATTAAAAGTGACGAGAATGTCACCTGAGTAATTTAATTACAAAATATTGTATTGATACTTGCCATCTGTAGGGTAGTTATAAATGGTTTAATGGGAGACATCATCCGTTGGAGATTCGGACTCCATGCAGAGATGAAATAGTACATGTACATGATTACATGCACAATATTATTGACTATTAAGACATACGAAGTTCTTACGTCCATAAAGTATTTCATATTAATCCACAGAAATGTTACATTAGATATATGATGATACACGTGCAAAACAGAGACTTGGTTTTGTTTCTTCCTCAGCACAAATATGCACGTTTCGATGTAATCAAATATTTTCAATAAGAGTCCATACCATACCGATATATGCCACTGAAATATAAATTTTATATATATACATACATATATATATATATATATATACATATATACAGGGTGTCAGACTCGTTTGTAGCCAAAATAAAAATTACGGTATATTGGGTTAATCTGAGAAGAAGAAACGTCGCTCGTCACTCGATGCGTGACTCCACCTCTC